TCCCATCGTTTTTTCTCGCTCAACCCTGTTCCATCTCATCTTCGACATTCATCATCTCACTCCAGTCCATCTTTCATATACCGATATACCATTACCGATACATATTATACCATATAATCAAGATGCGTTTCCAGGCTACCGTCCTTGCCGTCGCGGCTTCGCTCGCTTTCGTTGGTGCTCAGGATTTGAGCGGTATCCCCCAGTGCGCTGTATGTTGCCCTTCCTCTCCTGTTCCCGATCGGATCGGACTTCGGAGCCCACATCTCCACATGGAGACGATCACGATCGCGACATGGGCACATCGCATTTAGCATCACAAACTAACACATCAATCAACAGATCCCCTGCTTCGTCGCTGCCCTCCCCAGCTCGAACTGCGGTGTCACAGACACAAACTGCCAGTGCACCAGCGGCCGCTCTGCCATTGAGAACTCGCTCCTCACTTGCGCACCCGAGCGATGCGAGCAGGATGAGATTTCCAGTACGTTTTTGCATATCCTACATACCTATCTTCTTACGTCCATGTCTAACGCGACTACCAGGCCTCGCACCCGCTGTCTCCTCCCTCTGCGCCGCCGCCGGTGTAACACTTTCCGACATCCCCACTGCCGTCCCCTCATCTGGCGCTTCCATGACCGGCTCAATGATGTCTAGCATGATGAGCGGATCCCCCACCATGAGCGGCTCCATGTCGCCTACCAGCTCTGGTATCGCTGAGCAGACTGAGAACGCTGCTGCTGCCAAGCTTGCTAGCTACGGTGTTGTTGCCATGGGTATGGCTGCTGTCTTCGGATTGTAGATGTTGGATACCTGGAGGGGTGATGCGAAGGGCGCGTTGGTTGATTAGGAATTTGTAATGCGACAATCGCTTGTATATCGCAATTGATACCGTATCGTTCATTTGAATCGCTGGATGCTTAACGCCTTGTGCGGGTGGTTGGTGATGTTGAATTGGTCTCGGGCTATGTTCCTTTGTTCACGCAGCTTCGAGTGCGCTCGCCCATTTGCCAGACCATGCTGTGAACTCATCGTCTTCTCCAGCCCAGCTTTGCCTGACCAGCTCGATTGCGCTGTTTGCCTCACCACAGCATTTATCCAAAGTTCCTTTCGCTTCGTCTTCGTCGAGATCGTAGAATGCGCCCGCGATATCGTCGACCGTCTCAGGTATCGTCTTGAGGGTGTTCACGAGTGCGTCTAGCTTCTTGCAGGGTGGCGCGGTCGTACCGTTCGTTGCGGCGGCCGGTTCAAGCGTGGACGATGCAGGATACGTCTTCAACCTCCTCTTGATGAGCGCTTGGTAAAGCATACCAATCATCTTCAGCTTCTTGACACTAGTATCCAGCAGTTCCTTCAGCTCCTTGTTGTCCTTGCCGATCTTGTTCGATGCGCCGAAAATCTCGTCTTCGTCGTCGCTGCCTTCTGCTTCATCATCGTCGTCGTCTTCCACGTCTTCGCCCCATTCTTTCAACTCCTCGATCGCATCTAGTAGGACTGCACGGTACTCTTGCGCTTTCTTGACTACGAGTCCTACAACGCCATCTTCGCATAGCTTTAGCAGCGCGTCGCATACGTCCCAGAGTACACCGGTCGAAGACAAGACTTCTTGTTTCTCGCTTTCAGTTGGGCCGGTGTCTTTACCCTTCGCGCTTTGTCTTTTCTCTGCCATCTTCAGGATCATGGCGAGGACTTCTCCCCATGTCCCTAGCAATCTCCGTACCTGCGCCTTAACTTCTGTGCGCATTATGTCTCCGATATCGCCCCTCTGACCCTCTCGTGGTATGTACGAAGCCGCGGTCACCATGCTGTTCAGTGGGCCCGAGGTCACATCGCCAATTTTCGCTATTATCGCGGAGGGTGTGAGGGGCGGGTTGATGAGGAGGAGTGAGAGCGTCGTCGTGTGCGATTTGAGGAGCTTAGTCGAGGCTTTGATAACATCGAGAGGATCTGCTATCTCGGTTTCGGACGTAGGAGCGGCATCTTTGGTGGGCGCGAGAGAGGACTGGTAGTGTGTGAGGAGCGCTTGTGTGGTTTTGGTGAGGTCGATGAGACTGCGCAGGTCTTTTGGTTTCGACATTGCGCCGGATTAACTATTCCAGATCCTGAAGAGCTAGAGACCTAGGAAGATTATGTCTTTGATGATGTGTGCGCAGTTCACAAGCCAAAGTTTGGGCAGTATCAAAATTTTGGTGGGGCAGTGACTCTTAGCGGGGTACCTGGGTACATGGCTCCGTCATGCCCGTACCACAGCGGACATACTCCGCAGACGGCTGCATCCATCTCTGTCTTTACACGGCTCTATTTCCCTTCTCGCGAGGAACTTTAGTTCTGTACAGCGAAAGTCAGATATCTGGCCACGGTCATGTACCAGGTCGTTCGTCTCAAGCGACGTTCATTCCCAACACGGTGGCAACCGATGAATCTGCAACGGATGCGTGCACGGCGACGACTTTGTTCCTAGCATGATGATATCTGATCGTGTTATAGTAGTTCATGGCCTCATGATTGATATGCCGCTCCTAACGTTACAGTTATCATAGTCCAGTCCGGACCCCCACGATCTGGAAGGCGAAGTCGAGGCAGTGAAGCCCGGCGCGCTGATCTCGTATATGCCGCATCTCAGACACGACTAAACGAGGAAATGTGCCGCTGATGCATATATTCACATGTATGTAAGAGTCTGCCCCGACATCTGCTGAGGTCACAATGGCGCTCGTCCCCGCTCCCATGCTGCTGACATTGAGCCTCGCCAATGGAGCTCGCGCACTAGGCAACCAAGGCTGCGAGGCGCAGTCATTGCAGTTGACCGGTAATGCAGGTTTGACCACTGAAAAACTACAACTCCTCATCTCATACTCCCACGTTGCAGGTGCATGCATGGCGGAATGTAAAGCAATTACGCCTAGCTCAGCCATTCGTTGACTCGATCCCAACGATACCGACAGCCTCGCAACATGAAGCTGGAGGACTCGCGATGGATCTCGGTGAAGCAGAGCCTCACGTACTGGTCAGTCCAGTCCGATGGTATATCTGGCAATCGCGAATGCGCGAAGGACATAGGTCCCTAGAAAGTACCTCAGGAATGCCACATTCCTCACCGGTATAAGCTTTTTGTATCTGTTCATCTCAGTACCAGTCGTACCCTAGCACTCTCATCCACCCATCGTATACCTTCTACGCAATGTCTTACGTTGAGGATACCTTTCCGGTCTATCGCCTAGACCAGGCAGATTTGGAGAAATACCTGAGGGAGCTGCACGGTTCGCGTGACTTCCACATCGAAGTGAGAAATCTCGAGATACTCAAGGGTTTGTGCTGAGTATATCGTGCAGGTCATCAATGATACGTACAAGTTCCGAATCCCGAGAAGATTGGAAGCGGTAAGAGATCTTTCATACGATCAGTCTTAGTACAAATCCTGACTTCGAGTAAGAACGAAAGAAGGACGCTTAGGGGTCGAAGATGGGAAGATGATTGAAGAACGATGTTGGCAGCGATCTTGTGGGGGCGGGCTGCATGCTCGTCTGCCGCGGGGCTAACAGGAATTCGTGGCGATGTCCTAGGGCAACACCGGACTGGGAACTCGGTGCTGCGGTCATTTCTGCTGGTATATAGCTCAATCTACCCGATCTTCGCAGGGAGGGACTCTCCAGTTCCCAATTGCCAGATTTCGACGCAATCGCTATGGATCAATACGTTTCATCATGCAAAAAGTTCCGACGTTACCCACAAAATCTCACACAACAATGTGCTCTCAGCCATAGTATGGCCGGCTACTTCGCTCGGCTGCAATCTCAATCCGAGTTTCTGTTCCAAGATGAGAAGGTAGCTGTGGACTTCCTCGATTATCGCGAATTAGATAACCGTAAGCACTCTGTTACTTGCCAAAACAATACCTACTGACACCAGACAAGGCTTCAGCTCGGCATGCGTCAAAAACCAACGAGAGTTGGAGCTTATACTTAGCTGTAGACAGTCACTGACGCCTGAGGCCGTCGACCCGAGATGTCGTTTCATGTTAGTAAATCTTTGCTTTTTTGTGAAACTCAGCTGATGATGACAGATTCCTGACAGCTGGCCATGCCCGGGCGCCATTGAAGATCACGCACGAGATGTTCAGCTTCCTATTTACAATCTACCAGGTTGCTCCTTCGTTTCTGGATTTTGTCTTCCCTTTTGGACTGAGTGAAGAGGCACAAGACTTTTACTTCAGTGGACTGAGAGAAGAGTGTCGCTTAGCGTCGTACGACAAGGCTTGCGGGCTACCCAGCCTAGACCGCTCAGGGAGAGACCTTCGTTTCTGCTACAACCTGAGGTCCGTGGAATCAACGAGAAGCTCGTCAAAGATACCCTGGTCCATCCGCCAGTGTGCTGTATACCACACTTTCGACGTAGAAAGTGGCAGAATGCTTTGGATCGTGGTCAAGGGGAATAAAGAGATCATGAAACGCGTGACTGAAGTCTCTCAGAAACCAACACAGAGCGGCGATCCTCTCAAGTCTCGTAGCGCTGCATTTGCAGCGTCACTAGAAACGCATCTTGTGATGTGCAATTGGTCCGGCGAGAACTGGCGATGGTACATCAACGCCCTCGAAGAGCGGTTGTCAACTCTGGCACAAGGACTACTAGCATATCAAGTTGAGAGACAGCCATCGCCGCTACCATCGCCTACACTTCCAAAGATCACGAGTCCACGTTTCAGCGTAGGACCATTCAGCTTGTCGCGAGCTCATACATTGCGTCCACTTCTGACCGCAAACACCTGGATCCGGTCAAACACGTTGCACGAAAGTCCACAGACGTATGAGCCAACAATGGCAGGTAACAGCAACCAGCCCTGCAGCTTCTGGAATTCGAGAAAGAGCGCTCTCCCCGAGACTAAACCGTGGAGATCGGCTGTGAACAAGCTTCGCGGACTGATGACAAAGCCATCGCAATTCAATTCAGCTCACAGCCGTCAAACTTCCGGCGATGAGAAGACATTAATCGCATCTCCTGAAACGATGGCACCGCCAGGGTTTCCATCTGCATCTCACGATGGTAGATTAGATAAGGAGTCGGACACATTTACCTTCGACAATCTACGAGCCATACAGCACATCGAAGAGAAGGCACAAGAAGCCATGCTTGTGCTGAAGCTGAACACCGAAGTTCTTGAGCAATTGAGACTGCACTATGACGAAGTAGCGAAGCATGCCGATTTCCCACAAGATGTGAAGGATGAGTGCAAAGCCAATCTCCATCGATTCAACAAAGGCATAGTTGGAGTGGAGAAAGATATGCACATGCTGCGGTCACGGACTGAGACGCTATTACACCTCCTGGCTAACCGGAAGAACTTGGTAAGCACACATTGACTCGGGTTTCGGGACCATATATGCTAATAGCGTGTCAAAGTTGAGTGGCATATTGCAGCACCGAAGCTCCAAAGCCAGCGAATTCTACGCAAAAGAATCTCGAGAGTCCGCCGCTCGCATGGAAATAATGACTGTGAAGATGCAAGATCTTGCCATGAAGACGAAGCAAGAGACTGTGTCCATGAGGGTGATTACCACTGTGACCCTCTTCTTTCTTCCGGCAACCTTTATCGCTGTAAGTGATTGATGTCGTACCTTCAGACTGTACATCAGCTAATAGCAGGCAGACTTTCATGAGCACCGATATCCTCAAATTCCAAGATGGTGAACAAGACCTGCAAATGCAAGGCCTCCGGCTATATCTGATGATTGCCCTCCCTGCAACAGCTTTGACCTTTGTCGCATGGTACTTCATATATTATTTCGCTCGAAGGGAGGCTCGGTCGAACGATCGGTCCGAGGCTATTGGGGAGGCCTGATCTCTGTAGTATCGGACCAACAGAGCAGCACGAATTGGGACGATGACGTTGTTTCCTCTCCAGTACATTGGACTTGTAGACCTATAGATCTCTAAACAACTTTGGATTGCGATAATATTCATTCCAGACCTTGGCGTGCCCGTACGGTCAGATACCTGCCATTTTGCACAGCTCACTATGAAAGTTGGTCAATCCGAAAGCCAACCCGTTCTTATCTGAAGGCCTAATCGACGCTTGCAAGATCAGGAACGTTGCGGAATCCGTCGAAACTTGCGAGCGTATCATCGAGCCTGGGCTACGAGCCATGGTCAATAGCGGACCGATGCGTCTTGGCGGTTCCACGTTGTTCGACCTAAAAGCCAACGTCGTGTCAACAAGGGAGATTCTTCCTGTCGTTATACCTCCAAGCATTAAGCAATACTCATCGCGAGCACGTATGCGTTATTGGTGACCAAAGTAGGTTTCCCTTGGTAGGTCTGTAAACTGTAGCTGTCGGGGTCGCTCAGCCGCGTAGCCGCGTGGCCGCCAACTTTCCTGTTGTCACCTCTCCATTGTTCGCGATAACTTTTATTTCCTTTCGTCGCATCTTTGGCAAGAGAAGTGGTGTGTTTCTAGATGGACAATGACACCAAAACGAAGGACGATGATGCAGCTGATGCAGGTCCGGTTGAGTGTGGCTTGAGGCTGTGGGCGGGGTCCTGCTCTGATGGCTTTAGCGACAGACATGGAGTAGCTCCCCCGAGGCCCCAGGTGCCTGACTTCAGCCTGCCGCGCAGACTTGCGAAAGCTTCAACCTCACATTGAGCTTACGCGCAAACGTCATACCACTTCTTTCTCCCACCAAACCATTCCCATACCTGTCGCGACTCGCGCCGAACGAAAATACCTGATGCGCACCGTCCTCGACAGCCACGATGGGGTCCGAACTTCAGGCTTTCTTCCAACATGTAGACGACTGCACAGCGTTCGCTGTAGCTGAGTCCCGACCACTGGTCACCCGACCGATCGTATCATTAGAACGCCTCCGGTCCTATCTCACTACGGAAAGATCACGAAGGCTCTTGTTATACGTAGAAAGCGACCCCAGCTATGAGGATGAGGTCCGAACCAGTCATCTAGCTGTATTTTCAGTCCTACTTTCGATAAACAAGGGCTTTCATCTATCAACATTCGTACGACACAGTCACATGGCGGACCTGGGGCTACCTTTCCTTGCCCGCGACGCATGGCCGGAGGCTGTCCGGTACATGTTCGATGAGTTCTACAAAGCACAGTGGAAGTTCTGCCCAAAACGGCTCGTCTCTCGCCAACTGCACGATATATGGCTAGACAGGGACATTGTCGTGCCCTTCAAAGAGAAGCAGATTCTGAAGGAAGGTGAAGACGCTGTCATCTTCAAGGTTGAGCTGTTCGAAGAGTACAACCATCTCATCCAAGTAGGTCAACTGCGTGCGCGCGCACAATTCTATAAACTACTAGCAATTAGCTGACTTTCTTACACCAAGAACGAACTGGGCATTCCCCATACCAACGTCTTCATCCTGAAATCGAGCCGATCGGATTACACCAAGTTACACAACAATGAAGTGGACGCTTACAGGATACTACTGAGCTATCCGAGTGGCCGAGATGCGATGCAACATATGGCTCGCTTCTATGGCTCATGGAGACAGGGTGACAAATGTAACATATTGCGCGAATATATCGGCGGTGGCACCCTCACGACCTTTTTCAAACGAACGGAACCGCCGACGACGATGGAAGATATCCTCGAATTCTGGAAAAACTTCATACAATTCATAAAGCCAATAGCGTGTATACATCGTCTTCCCGATCCGCGTAATCGTCATTCGTTCAAAGTGGGGTATGTGAAAATCCACAGAGGTCCCTCTCCTGACCTGCGACTAACTTACGAAGATTACACAACGACATCAAACCGGATAACATCCTCGTGTCGGAGCAGAACGGGAGCAGTCCGTACAGTTTATCGTTCAAACTGGCAGATCTCGGTCTCGCCGGGTTTGTGGTGGCGGATGAGTCGGACGAGACGCCACTTCGCGACGTGCACGGAACGAAGATGTACAGTATGTTACCATTGAGTTTCAGATTTGCGCTCATCTAACATGCTCTCAAGGTGCGCCCGAATCCTTCCGCGGCGAGACGGACAGGTCCATGCAACAAAGCATCAAGCAAGCACACCCGGCTAAAGATATATGGGCGTTGGCTTGTGTGATCAGTGAAGCTGCAGTATGGACTGTGTTTGGGCCAACCGGGTTGGACGAATACCATCGCCGGCGAGTCGAAGCTACTGACGCTATTCCTATTCTCAGGAATACTGGCTATAGCGGCTGCTTTCACAATACCACCAAGGTACTCGCTGCCGTAGACGAGATGCATAGGAAGGTCACTCAAAGTCGCCGAGCGAACATCGACAACATTGTAGCCCCATTTCTTCATATTGTTGGCGGGATGATGATGCAAGACCCAACGAAGAGACCAGATGCGTGGAGAGTTTACGAGGATCTCAGACGAGCTATAGACTTGGCGATACCGCCAGCCCACGATGCAACCACGCAAACACCTACACAAAATAACAGCATTCCAGATTCAACGCCCATCAATCTGTCCGTAAGCCAGACGACTGGTCTAGGCTTGGATATGACTGGACTATCTCTGCAGTCTGACAGCGATATACAAGGGCATCAATTACATCATCTTCCAGGTAGAGGTTCCTCGATAATTAGGCGGCCTTCTTCTCTGCCACCTTCTGGTACTTCGATCAATGGACAAGGGAAGAGACCGAGGCGCGATACCTACAGTCCGGCTTCCGATACTCCATCTGGGTCGCAAAGGAGTCCATTGACTCCTATCCCCAGTCATGTTACACAGCCTAGTACACCTATCGCATCGTCAGCCCGCCCTAAAGCCTCTATCGAAGAGGTTTTGAAATACATACCGAAGAAGAAAATGTACCCACACACTATTCTACCGGGCGATAAATCGTTGAAAAGACTGGGTGGCCGAGACCAGGTATTCAAAAACGCTGAACCAGATTTTGGCAATCTTGCTAACCGAACTTCAATAGATCTTCCTCGTCGATGACTCTGCGTCCATGCGACCACATTGGAAAGAAGTCCAACGCGTTTTCGAAGCTCTGGCGTACCTAGTCAAGACCATGGATCCAGACGGTATCGAACTGCATTTCGCCAATAGTCCCGAGCACAAAGGTCGTAGCAAGGACCGCAAAAGTCTCACCAAAAAGTTCGACAGGGTGAAACCGTATGGTCAATGCCAGATGGGTATTGCGCTCAGCAACATTCTCCCACTTTACTATCAGAACCCGCAACAGAACCCGAAAAGCAAGCGCTCATCGTTGTCCCTACGAGTAGATGAAAAGCCTCCAGTCAATATCTACATTCTCACAGACGGTGTATGGTCGCCAGAATCGTATTGTGTCTCCACCATACAAGCTCACATCACAAACCTAGTCGACAATTTGTGGAAGGCTGGAAAGCTACAACATGTCGGTATTCAGTTCATCCGCTTCGGGAATGACGTGATGGGGAAACAGCGTCTCGACTATCTCGACAATGATAACTTACAGCATTACACAGTCCCTATGGACATTGTCGATACAGAGCCTTCCGACGGCAATGTTTTCAAAATGCTCCTCGCGAGCACCGATCCTTCCTGGGATAATGACGATAAAAAACCCAGCGGCTGAAGAAGACAACGTTCTGAAGACATCTCCAGACTCACACAGTCACGATCAAGCCTACCATCTAGCGTACTCGGGGTACTGAGCCCAGCGGTTGAAGGAGGGCAGCCTCCGTAGAGTCATTTCGACACGCGTACATGTGCAATCGAGTCTACCATCCCAGATTCCCAATCATACCTGTTTGCGAGACGCGTCATCAATCTCGAGCACCGAAGCCAAAAGAAGATCCCTAAAACTCCCAACGTCTCGATCTATCAACCACTCGGCCACACTCTGCATCCCGGGTACAGATGACCTGTACGGAGGATTCCTTTCTCTTTTGTTTTTGGTCTTTTGGAATACAGCGCATGATACCCGGTGGATGACGGCGTTTGAGAATCTCTGCGTTGCAGTCAAGGCAGACGCGATAAGCTGTATGAACACACTATTTGAGCTCAACGGCTGGGCACATGAAGTCTCCAGGTCTAGTAGACGACGGCATACGATAATGATCATCATTTACCTCATGTTTTATCATGTAGAAGTCCTTTTGAGGTGTTCCATACGCTTCAAACATCATCGCCTCGACCCATATGAGCCATCAACTTCGTCAGGCTTGTTTCCCACACTAGACTCAGCGCATCATGATTGTCGCGCTTGCAACGAAGTATTGAGAGCATACCGCATGATTGACAATGAGCACGCCGCTCGTAAGCATCCCACTAAAAAAGCCTTCGACAATTCTCAATTTACACGGGTTACGGTCAATCTAGCTGATAACAAAATCTAAGGAACGCGAAAGATGGTTGAGTGTTGTGTTATTACGAATTATGAAGAGAAGCAAACACTGAAGTAAACCCAAATATGCATGCGTCTTTTGTCCTGCGATAGAATGCTCGGGCAATCCCACTAGCAAGCTTTCGAACACTACACTATAGGCTTTGCTATATCGTTCATGAAACCTTTGAGAGGTGCGATTTTGCTATCCAACACCCATATGATTTGATTGTAGACAGCAGCTTGTAAAGCAGTGCTGTCAAGGTCGCTCCCTACGGAGAAATCACAGTGGATACACTTCTGCGCCATCTCAAGCAGTTGCCGCTCCAGAAACGATGGGGGCGTCGGCAAACATTCTAGAGTCTCCCTAGCAGTGACAACGGCATGTTGTTCGCTCGTTTTGGTGCTGTATTTGTCCGTCTTGTCAAGTATTTGTAAGAGGGCAACTCCCAACTTCGCTAGGGGAATACTCCTTATACCGAGTTGAGTCTGCAGTCGAGATCTTTCGTCATGACTAAGAGCAGAGCGTGTTAATTTCGAGAACCGTGTATTGAAGTGGAGGCTCTCTAATCGGTTTTCGAAGCTGCCAGTATCCTGGTCTGCCGAGCTATCGAAGTAGAAAATCTCTTCGAGATTCCAATCTTCTCCAAGCCAAGGACCTGAGTTGTATTGCAACGTTGCTTGGGCTAGTCGATGTGCAAGAATGAGTTGCTCAAGTTGAGACCCAAGATTTTGTAGCAGATCTATCACTGGCTTCGCTTCTTCGTTGATCACAGGTAGGCTCTGTTGAATGACTGGGGTCTTGCTACACTCGTAAAACCAGAGCCGCAATGAGCAATTTGGTACCACGCACATCGTGTAACCCAAGTAAGACCCCAGTTGGCTCGGTGGAGATACGTCGTCTTTGTTCAGGCGAGAACAAATCCTGCCATAGGCGCTTCTGTCAAGAGTGGGCGCATATAACGCACCAGGGCCACTTGCACCGGACGATCTCAAGGCTGGACCGTTTGCTTCATGAACGATAGTTGTGCTGGTTGCTGATTGATGTAGACTCTGGTAAGTGTTTAGAGACCGGTCTCCGCGCACTCCCAGCTCCTTAGTCGGCCTTTGGACGAGCGGACTCGTGCTAGTCTTGAGTGATTGTACATGCAACCAGATCGTCGGCTCTAGCTCTTCTTCACTTTTCAGTGTTAGTCAGACACATACAAAGCTTCTATGTCGCATCTAGACCCACTCTTGTTTCGGTGTCGTAGACAATTTACTGGCGATTATGGTGCACAATTGCGCCGCTTCCACTTTTGTGTGCTTTAATCCGAGAGCTAGTGTCGCTCTGTATTCCTTGCACGGTATGCTGAGGCCTGGCGACAATGCGTCTTGCAGAAAGCTGTGAAGCTCCCGAGAGGCACGCCGGATCTCATCGTACTCGGGGGGGACAGACTCGTAAGCTGGCCGCGGGGTGCTGGCCAGCGCAGAACTAGCCTCGCGAAGCTCACATCGTTGTTTACGGAGCCTTCTGATATTCTTGATCCATTTTTCTATCTCATCGAGCAAATCTCGGTCGCCGGATTCCTTGCGTGAGATCTTGAGAGCCTTCTTCGCATCCTTTGCTCCTTTGAGTAAACTAGAGGCTTCCTCAGTGCCCGGCTTGTCGTGCAGCTTTTCGAGTTCGCGCTCAGCGTTATTCAGTCTATCCTTGATCCAGATGAATGTCTCGCGAAAAGTTTCGTCATTGGAATCCAAGAATGCACAAAGGCGTAGGTCGAGTTGCGGATCCTGCCAGGCGGCGTGTTCTGGATCTACCATCATTGCGGCTAGGATCTGATTGTCGTAAACGACGTTACTCAGGAGTAGTTCGCACTCGTTACGGAAGCTATCCATAGCCAAATGGTATATTAACATTAGTTCTCGTAGGACGGCGTCGGCGTGTGCGAACGCGCGAAATCGATCTCGCACAGTGTGGTAGGACTTGAACATCTCAACAATGAGTGGGACAACAGCAAGGGCAAGACTAGCGCTCTCCATGATTGTCGCCCAAGAAAACTTAGGACAGATGCGACACTTCAAAATGGTGGTATACGTGCATCGCTTCATGATTAAGAAGGAACTGCCCACGTCGCAATCAGCTAGGTGCAGCTGCAGGCCGCGCGCTACTACCCCCACTCTCCTTTCGAAACGTATGCCCATACGATTACTTGCCTGCCGATGTCAGCCATCTTACTAACAGTTTAGTTTTACGTAATTTCTTTGGCTACACGCACTTGCGTCAGAGAACTGCATTAGTTCAGCCAGGTATTGGGTCCAATATTTTAAGAGCCATCTAGGTTGAGCGTGCTGTTTATATCAACGCACCTAAGCGCTTTGTCGACGCCAGAGACATCTTGATTACGGTTATTTTACTTAGTGCTGCATTGTTCCATGATACACGCACGCCACAGTTGTACTTGGCAACAGAAGATCATCATTTGGCATTGCTGTCAAGGCTGCTATTCCAAACCAAGTGAGCGCGATACATGTATTAGGCATAGACTTCGGTCCTTCGAGTTCCAAAAGTCTAACATGAAAAATGATTAATCTTAGAGGATAGCGCATAGATATGCATATGTTTGATGGAAGATTTTCCACTGAGTGAGGTTCACGGCCAAACTAATCCTCGACACATGCCATTGACCACGCTTCCTCATCATCTGTCATTAAGATGCTTCCGGTCTCATATCCCTCATCTTCAGCAAAGTGCTTCAGATCTTGCGCCGACAGCGATTTTGTCTCCACTTCACCTTCCGGTCTCATCTCTTCTCTGCCCAAGAATCCTGCGTTGCCGGGCCAATATGCCCTGGTCCCCAATGCGGCTTCGCCTCTCCATCTCCAACCCTCTTTCTTAACGATATGCAGCCGATAGGCTAGAATGACATCACCGAGCACAGTGTGCGACTCGGCGCCATCTGTACCGGCGTTCATGTCCAGGTTGGCTTGGATTGCAACCTCGTTAGTCACGTTGCCTTGCGTGCCCAGACCGACTTCGCTTTCTTTGAGTTGTATGGTAGAATATCTCAGACCTCTTGCAACTTTCAGGCCAGTGATGAAGTAAATAGGTCCTCTCCTGAGTGCATCTTGTACTTCGGGATCCTCACCGCATAGTGCGGTCACATCCGCCGCCCGTGGATTTCTCTCCAGCATCAATGTGTCAACATTGTCGAAGTCATACTCTGTTCTGATATCCGCGCTGTGTTTCCCTTTTGCCTGACTGCCAAATGCTGCATAGAGTTTGGCGGATGCGTCGCTATGATCGCCACGCTTTCGTGTGCCTTCGCTCGAGCTTGTCATAGTGATGATCTCCGCGAGAGGCTGGAGTTTCGCAATGGGGTCTTGAGGAAGAAATATGTCGGTGATGACGTTGCCAATCTTGATGGAACCGTTGAGCGAGTATTCAAGGCTGGGAGCTCGGATAAAGAATTTTCTGCTTTCCAAGGGTGAAGGCTCAAAAGTCATCTTATCCGATGTCTCTGTACGGTGGCGAGCCATGGGTCTCTGATGCTCGCTTTCTCTCTTGGCCGGACAAACAAGACTAGTGTCGATTATCTGAAGACAATCTATCCTCATCTGTATAGTATCACAGAGCTCTTTGCCCCGCTGGGGTTCATTGACTTGGTACATCTCCACATCGTCTGGACTTTCCATTGTCGACCTCGCGATTTGCGTAACACTAACGACATCGCATGTCTCGAAGAATTTGGCGCGCATGTTGGTCGGAAGGAGCTCGGAAAGATCTGGCTTACAATCAGTTGTCAAGTAAATAGTAAAGCACTGAGATACGCACTGCTGGTCACAAGCCCACTTATGAGAACCAAAACCAGTACGACCGAGTCTTGCACCGACTTGGAGTGACGAAGTGCTTCATCGAGGCCATCGTCTGAAACAGCATGTTCGTTGCCCCACAATAGGAATGATATCGCACTCCTTTCTAGCGATTGATAGTATGATGGCTCCGGCTTTTGTTGTCTCAGATAGCGAAGAATAAACTTCAGAGAACTCATCAGACCACTGTAAAGTGGCGCAATGATGCTGGTTGGAGGATGCGGAGCAATTTCACTCTTCGGCGTACTAACAACCGCTGAAGTCTCTTCCGCCATCGACATGTGCTCATCCAGTGACGAATCTTGAACTGCAGCCACTTGCTGACGCTTTTCATCTCTTTTTCTGATGGAATCCAGTATCCCGGACCGCAAATCTTGCTTCTCTTGCTATCGAACAACGATCAGCCCGATAATAAGAAATTCCAGCAAGACATACCTTGTTTAACAATCTAGGGACCCAGAACTTTAACTCATCCGATTCGCGCTACTAATCTCAGACATTTCGAAAACAGAGCTCCAGTCTCGATGTGCTTACAGTGACAAAATAATCATCATCCCCAAATATCTTTCCCAGAAAATCTTCCACGCAGGACAAAATGCGAACTCCTCTTTTCCTGAGTCCGGAGGTATCAAAGACATCCTGACTCCATGAAGGCGGCGGTATTCGAAAATGTACCGTCGACATACTTTGAGGCGACCGTCAATATGGTGATGAGCGATCGGCTCTCGAGCTCAACCACTTCGTTGCTTAATTTCGTAGCCGTCGAATGAGTAAATGTCGCTATTCGTGCCAGGAAGGTTATGTCGCTTCTGCTTTGTGGGTTGGCTGCATTAACATCCAGCCCGGACTACAGCCACACGCCGAAGGCGAAACGCACGCCCTGATAAGCATTCTTTTGTTATCATCACCGTGGGGTGCATCTAAATTGCTGCATAGCCTCGTCCTATCAAACCCAAGCCAATTTCCAGCCTTGTCAGCCATAAACACCGTTTGCGGCCTTTGCATGCCACTGCAGAACTTGGCTTGAGATTACGAGCGGGCACCAATCATTCTTCACTGATAGATGCGAGCTGAGAGACGTATGGGGGATCAAGTCTTTTCTGGGTAGAGCGGCACAGCGTCTCGTAGGTGCATTTGGCCAGGTTGCGGGCAGGCTGAATTCCAGAGCTCCGAGGCCGCGTCTTTCAGCTGGCTGGACCGCGATCGCGTGAAGGCTGTGGAAAACGTAGAAGAAGCCATATGAGTGCCAGATTGTAGGTGAACTATGTAAGGACAGGTTGCGAGTTGTATGGAGTACTGTGATGTGGTCAGGTCGTTGCTTTCCATTCGCTTCTGCTCTCAAACTCCGCTTGTTAGATGACGTCATCTGTGTAACAACCAGATGTAGCCCCGTGTGACTATCCTCTCAGGAGATCGCTTGCAGATCTAACGACGAGCAATATCGCATTAACGTGCTGATGATTCGCTGCAAGATGGTAGTGTTCCAGTGGACTCGTATTTTACAATCAAACATCCATCCCGCACCACTAGCCCTACGCCAGCAATGCTCTTCCTCCCGTATCGTCAACCCCATCATCATCATCTCTCACCCACCTCAGTTATTCCTCCTACTCTTCTCCTTCCCCTTCTTCGCCTTCTTCCCTTTCCCCTTCCCCTCCCCATCATCCTCACTCGCCCTCTTCCCACTCCCCTTCCCCTTCTCATTCTTCGCCGGCTCCAACGCCGCATCCGTATCCTCATCCTTAACCAGCAACTCATTCAACGCATCATTAAAATTCTCCATCTCGCATATCTCGCCAATCTTGACGCGCATGTAGTCAAATGCAATAGCGACCTTCATATCCTTGTTGCGCACCTTGATAACGCGGGCGTTCTCTCGGAGCGAAGATGAAGTTTCCTTGGGGAGAGATGGGATGGGTTTTGCGGGGCCGGGAGCAGCGGGGGCTGTGGTGGAAGAGGGGATGGAGGGGTGCATGTCCATGTTGTCTGCGTTTTCGGTTGTGGGGTCGACTTCGGCGTCGTCGTCTTCCATGGGCACGTCTTCGGCGACTTCTTGGGGGTTGAGTAGTGGGTCTGCTTCTTCGCCGTCTGTGACGGTTTGAAGAACGGGGATCTTTTGGTAGCGCTGGCTGAAATGCGTGAGGACGACGGATTTCGCGTTCATCGCTGCGCCGATACCGAGTGCTTCGGAGGTGGTGGAGTGTTTCTTGGCCTTTGCGTCGCCTTGTAGTTCATCGTCGAAAGTTGCTTCGTGGATGAGGACTGTGGTGTCTGCTCCGATCTTGGCGAAGTGGCCGCTTGGTCTGCAGTCGCCTGAGTAGCTGAGCTTGAGTGGCTTGATTTGTTCAAGGTCTGCTGGGTCACGTGGGAATGTAATTGAGACAGCCATGGCACCGTGGCAATGCGCTACTCTGGAAGCTTGTATTTCATTGAAACCAAACAGTTTCTCATACTGTTTTTTCGGTATGGCCGCGTTCTCAGATAGTGTCTTTCCAAACGAGTTCAGTATAGACAACCTCGAGCCATTCTGATATTCGTTGGGAGTGATTTGAAGAGGAAGAATTCGACTGTAGCCAAAGTCCTCGATGGCTGAGTATTCGTTAAGCCATTGGAGCATACCACTGTGGGATACGACAGCAAGACCGTATGCGCTAGGGTCTATGTTGCTTGCGGAAGGGTCCAGGGGCTGGGGGTTTGGAACAGCATTGTGTGCTACTTGGTACCAAGCACGAATTACTGATGCTGTGCCTAGGTGGTGATCGGCATGCAAGTGACTGATCCAGATCATACGCAGGTTCTTGAAGATATCCACGAGCTCTTCGTGGGGAAAGACTCTTGAAAGCTGACCCAATGTGTTCTCTCCGCAATCCAAGAGGTAGTTGCCGATGCCAGGAACACGCACCAATGTGGAAGATACATTACGGTACTTGGACGGAAGGGCAGAACCTGTTCCAAGTGTCGTTACCTCGGTGTCACGACGCGCTAGTAGCTTACTCCATATCTGCATCTCTCTGCTTTTGCTTTGGACCTCCGCTTGAGCCTTTTTAGCCAATTCGAGAACCTCAGGCGGCGTTGTAAGTGCCACTTCGTCGGGCACGAAGAGACTAGATATAGTGTTTTTCTTGGTGGCAAACTGCGGCATAAGATTAAAGCCAAAGCCTCGGTCAGCGCGGATGGCTCCGGAGGGCAACGGCGATGCTGTCGACATGCCAGTCCTGTATATACTTGTCTGTGGTACAGTAATGTTGTCGAAAACGGGTGTGCGATATCTCGACGGATCAATCTGCCCAAGTCGCGTAGCTTGTCCCGCTACCGAGTCGTGTGCGACGCGATTTGGCGCGGTATCCAGAGACGATATTACGTGTTCCACGTTGTCCATCTTGTTCATGAAATTGAGTAGATCCGGGTGACCTACGACGCCTGGACCAAGCATCCAAACGATAGCTCGAATGTCAGTCATCACCTCTGGAGAGCTAAGCTCTTCTCGCTGAAGAGTGCTTTCAATGTATTCAACTGAGGGGATGTCCAAGATGGCGATACCCTGACCGGGCCTATCAGCGCCCATGACCTGATCTGGGGTAATCATCTCGCCGTCCGCGTTCGGTACCGATATGCCATTGGTGAGCTTTCCGAAATCCGGTCCTGGTTTGACACCTAGCGCTTTCGCGCGTGCGACGTCGAATTGACCACGAGCTGAATGCGACCGCACGATGTACGAAACACACTCTGGTGCTGGCCTGGTCGGTGGTAGCGCTAGAATCATAGCACCAGGCCACGGCGTCCGGGTCCAGACTTTAATGTCAGGAAGAGGCTCTTTGCCCCCTGGCATCGGCCCTTGGTAGGCCGAGAAGCCGTGTGTATCGGGGTTACGAATGAATATTTGAGCAGGCACTTGTACCTCAGAAATGTGGCGTTCTGTCAGTGTATCCATCTTCCAATTCGAATCGAACATGTACTTGATGGTCGCTGTCCGTATCCGGTCGTACCTCAACTCGCGGTCTTCCGGGCTCTCATTTTCGGGAGCCTGGAGTCCGTCAAATGTATTCTCGTGTTCATCGAAATACCGTCGCCGCGCCTCCAAATCAGCCTCCGCTTGCGCATCGACTTCAGAGTTGACAGGCGCTACTGAGAGAGCCCAGACTTTGATATTTTCGTCCTCCCACGTCGGAACTATAGCACCATTGCCGTCCTTCTCGGGTGACTGCTTCACGTACTCGGTCGCATTGATGGGTATGCCCTTCCTGAATATGAACCTCCGACACGTTGCCAGTGTATGTTTCAGATTCGGTGGTCCGTATATGTCGAAGTGCGGCTTCGCGGGTGCCTCGCCTTTTTTTCCTCGCTCTTGAGCCAGACGAAAGGTATCCATGGCGGTGGTGTAAGAGCTGGTGGTCGAGTCGGCCAATGTGAGCATCATGCCAATCAATCCACCCATGTTCTTCCACTCTGTCCTGCCTGTCATGAAGAAATCTTGCGCCTTCAGCAGACGTGTGCCCTGCTGCACCATCGCCCGCTGGGTGCCCTCTGCCAGGTTGCCGAAAACATAGTGCTTGCTTGCCGTCCGCAGCACGAGCGTTGTTCCCGGCGTATCAGCCGTAGGCGTTGTGACGACCTCAACGCTGCACGACATGTCTCTTGTTCTCAAGAACTCGGTTCTATTGAACTCCGCAGGTGGCTTTGTATGTTTGTTCTTGGGCTCGGAGAGTTCAAGGTTCGGCGGTTGCGTAAGGTAGCATGAAGCTGATCCGATTGGAGCTTTGGGAGGTTGATATATCAGACGTGTGAGTACCTTCGCTTCTGCTAGGTGATTCGCCTTGCCGCTTTTCGTGTGTTTAGATGCAACTGGTTGAGGATCGAGGGGTAAGCGGTAGATCTTCGAAAACGTT